GCAGCTGTTGGACATTTTATAATATCTAAATCTTTATTTTTCCCGTAAAGGATGGAGAACAACATGGATGAAGACAGCTCTTCTACAGTCAATGTCAACAATGCCAAAAATCCTCTTAAATGTAAGTGACTCTATATGTATTTTACAGTTTTTGAGGATTAAAAAGTAACAATGCTACCCAAAAGCATTTCCCACATTTTTATTCCCTCTGCAGGAAGTTATAGTTTCTTAACATGGGCTGTAACAGGAATTGTTTTTATGTCACATGTAAAATTAAGCTTTAATTTTCTTGTATCATCTGAGAAATCTCTCTGCAAGCCAAATTTACTTGTATAGCACAATTCAGCAACAATTCAAAGTCCTTTACATGATGAAAACATAAAATGGAGAATAGATAGAATGCAGTAATGCAATAAGTAAAAAATAAACACAATTTTTAGTGTGGCCTAAAATTAGTGATGTTTAATTTATTATTCTAAATAATCATCTCTAAACAAAAATGTTTTTAACCTTGTGTTACGGCCCCGCTCAGAAGACCGCAACAAAATCATGGGGGGAGGGATACAACACCAAAAGACATTGTCAGCCTTTTTGATTAATTTATTCATAAAACAAGTGCAGGGGTAGCAGGAGGTACCCCAGGCTGCACCGGTGTGTGTGCGCCTCAGTCTGGTCCTCCGTCAGGCGCTGGTCTTCCTCAGACATGGACCTGCTGACCCCAGAGACTTCTGATTAGATTGGTTAGATTTCACTTTGTTTAAATATTGGCTGACCATAGAGTCACAGGAAGCAGCTAAAATATCAGGGACATTTGGGGCAACACTCTTAATAAAATGATCAATCACCTCAGGGATAAGATGGTGTCTAGTAACAGTTCAAACCATGGTGTCACGCTGAATCAAATCAGTGACAGCAAAAAACACAAAGTGATGGTCAGACACAGCCAGGTCAACAACAGAGGACACATCAGAGGTCAGACCAAAGGTCATGACGAGGTCAAGGGTGTGGCCCCTGTTGTGAGGGAGTTGGTTGACATGCTGAATAAAATCCATACAGTTGTTTGGACAAAGAGTCAGATGGATTATTAACATCTAGATTAAAATCACCAGTCACAATAATCTTATTATACTTAGCATGAATAAAAGATAAAAGCTAAAAAAATTCAGTCATAAAATCAGTTTGTCCATGCGGCCTGTAGACAGTAACACAAAGTATTTGCAAGTTGCTAAAAACAAAGGCATGATGCTCAAGTGAAATCTTTTTAGCACCCACTGAATTATTAAATATTGAAGCAGTACCAGCACCTTTCCTGCCACTTCGAGCACAAAAATAAAATTTAAAACGGTCCTCAGTGAGCACAACTGGTGCATCTGTGCCCAACCAATTTTCTATCAAAAACAAGCAATCCAGTTTAGCATCTAAAATCAAATCATTTACTATAAAAGATTTGTTTAAGGGAGAGCGAACATTTAAAAAAGCCATATTGAGAGTGACTGGTTCTGGTCTGCTCTGCATCCCCAGAACCAGAACCAAACATGAAGAAGCAGCTTTCAACTTCTGTGCACCACAAATCTGGAACAAACTTCCAGAAAACTGCAAAACAGCAGAAACACTGAGTTACTTTAAAAAAAAAGGATAAACACCCAGCTGTTTAAAACTTCTTTGGACCAGTAATCACTGGAACACTGACCAACATGTTCGATGTGTTTTGATGATTTTAATGATGAACATCCTTGATGCTGAAATGTGCTGTACAAATAAACTTTATTGATTGATTGATCAATAACTTATTGATTCCATTGCTTGTTTTTTTCAGCTGAAGAAGAAGTGGAACCATCAACACTCCGGTGCTCTTCTCTGTTTTTGGTGTGTTTGGGGTTGCTTTGTGTCATACTGGCTGCAAAATTTGTCTACAGTGAGTTTCATTTCAACAGAATATATTTTAAGTTGCTTCCTTTATAACAAGTATTTAGAGGTTTAAAGCTTTGGGATGCAAGCGTTCAGCAGTAAGAGGAGATGTGAGGGTTGATAAAAAGTCAGGGACACTGAAGTGTTACCAAGAATCAGTTCAACTTAATGCTGCCCAGCTTGAAACCTGTCAAGGTGTTAAAGTTTTTATGGAAGAGCTAAAGGCGTAGTTGAGGAGAGGAGGATGTCTGGCTTGTGAACTGCAGGAATTTGTCTTTGCTTTTTGTAGTCAAGCAAAGCTAAATTGCTCATCTACAAGCTATTTATATTTGCTCATAGATGAGCACTCCAGCGCCTCGTTGTTCCCACCAGGTGCTGGAGTGGTTTGGTGCTGAGTGTGAAGGAGCTGGACAGACAGTAATCTCACATTTCTGTTCCAAGAAGCTACATGATGTAACCCCTGCTTCAGTCTGACCAAAACTGGTTGGGGGTGTTTATTGAACAATCAAACATCTCACAAAAGAAAGAACACAACTTTATTCTCTATGATTTAACGTATTTTTTTCACATTAAAGATCAGTTGATCTTTAATTTTCAAATAGTCCATCTGAATTACATCTTTTTAAGAAAACATCACCCAAAAACATCAAGTCTTTCACTGATTTTACAGCATTTTTAAAGATTCACATTTTACCTGTTTAAGTAATTTTTTGTTTGTCACACTAATGTTTGGCATAAAGATACTGGTTAACTCTAAATTTGGAGTTTCCCAATTTTTATTGATTTTATTTAGGAAATAACCAAATATTTATTTTCCAAATCACATATTTCTCCTCATTTTCAAGCTAAAATTTGTCTTGCTTAAAGTTCTAAATATAATTTTCCTTTTTTATTTTTCTGCTTAAGTAAACATTATTTTCAATCTTTTTTAATGTTGTTTTGTTTTCACCAATTCTTTTTAAAGTCTTCAGTTTATTCGTTCAAAGCTATTTTTAATCTCCCTAGTGGAGTCTCTCATAAAGTGCTCTTTTGGTCAGGTTTGTCCAGTCTGAAAAATGCCACCTTCATCATTGTCGAACCTGTAAAGTTCATGTCAGTCTTCAACTCTTGGGTTTCTGTCACAGGTCTATGTTCTCCAAACAAAATGCATTTTTTGTGCAGGGAGATCCTCTTATAAGAAAAAAAAATAAATTAATGTTCACTTTTCTTGATCACCTGTTAAAGAAGCACGTCTTTATTCAATTGTTATTTCACATCTAACGTCAATCCACTTTATTATAAGAGTTATTTTCCTTTTTCACCATTTTATCAGTAATTTTCTTTCAGTAGATGCCGACTGGGAGGGTGTCCCATCCTTGTTGTAAAGAAACCTATGAATTGAACTGATTGTAAATGTCACATGATTATTTGAAATATGCAATGACATCTTCTAGTGATCCGGTTTCAGAACTGAAGTCAGAAATGAGTGAGATAGCGTGTTGCCCTCTGCTGTGTCTCCCAATTGTGTCGTCCTGAGAAAGAGAAGAAATATTTGTAAATTTATTCTTATTTTTCCAACAGGAACACACAAATTCCAAAGTTATTTATTCTTCTAAACCATGCAAAAATGAAGATGTCTTGAAAAACTGATTTGCAACATTAAGCATTGAACTCCATAAGAAATCTTAAAATACCAATGAAATGGTCACGCTACATTGATTTCCCCCACTTTGTTCTCTGCTCTGCCGCCCGCCCCCATGCTGGGAGCAGGGTCATCCCTAAGGACAGGGTCTAAAGCCAGTAATTATGAAAAGTTTTATTGGGGCTACAGAGCAAAGATGGCTTCTTTGAAGCAAACACCTTGATCTGTAACTACAGATCCTGTCCTGGGACAAAGTTATAAAGTTAACTACCATTTGGTTCATCTCCTCTTTGATCCCCTTTTTAGTTTCTGTCTTCTAGTCTGATTAGGCGGCCTGGCATTATCAAATCTCTGTGCAAATCCATCTTAAAGGCTATCAAACTACTTCCAAGGGGGGGGAGCCCAAAGCTCCCTTGTTTCCATGGAACACAGCCAGGTGCTCCATGACAACAAACAACCTCATGTTTTACCAGTGCCTAACAAAACAAATCCAGCAGTATACCATCCAACAACGATCATTTCTTAATTGTTCATAATATATTCTCATTCGCCATCCACCAACACAACAAGACAAGCCAAACAAAAATATAACAATACACAAATCTCCTCTGGGATCAACCCAAACAACTCAGCAGGGGTCTCTTTACTAGAAGCTACACACATGCAGGCGGGCCTTGGTCCTTTCACACCAACACACAGAGTGCAACAAACAGGAGCGCATACACTAATCACAAAATTTATTAACAAATCACACAAATGTATTTCTTCTCTCCATGTACAGACAACAAGCATACAAAACTTACAGCAGCGCAAATGTACAGCAAGCACAGAGGTCACCTCAACACCAAAGGCAAGCAGAGACGCAGAAAGAAGAAATGGCTTCTGCCTCTGTTAAAAAAGATTCACATACATGAGGTCAGCATGCTCATGTTTAGTAATGAAATAATAAATGTACACACTGAAAGAAGTTATGCACACATAGGAGATAGATTGGCGGGATCGGCATGCCAGCATTACCTTTCCACTGATGAGGTCAGCCTCCTCATTGGGTCCACCTCCCAAATAATCAGTGTTGGTGCTTCCCATAAACTCTATAAAACTAGAGGGATATCTAAAGCTGCCCTACGACTTCAAGTGTCCAACTCTGCACTGGAAGAACACATCCGCCGGCCCCTTGTCAGGTTTGCCGGATACAGGGCTGCAAAGCCCATATGCATCTTTGTCCTTTTATTCCATTAGATCCTTTATTTCACCATAAAACTACAATTGTACTCTTCAATTTGGGAGCAGGACGCCTCAGACACCAGTCCTCTCAATTTAGTTAAGTTCAATTACACAAATAAAAATTTCTATTTACCTTTTGTTTCTGTGGGTTGACCAAGAGTTTGGCCTGGTGTATTCTGCTCAGAGTTTTAAATGTTTGTTAAAAATGTATATCTTGTTATCAGTGATGTCAGTAATGCGTTACTGACGTTGGACCACTTTTTCAGTAACAAGTAATCTAACTCGTTGCTATTTCAAATCCAGTAGTCAGACTACAGTTACTTATCGAAATCACTTTGCGTTACTATTTTCTTTTGTAATTTAATTTTATTTCCTCTACTCGTCTTGGGGAGAACCACCGTTTCTCAGCAGCAACAGAAACAATGGAGGGAAGAGAGAGATGCGCATTTTGTTGCTAGAAAAACAGAAACTATTTTGAGTTTCACCTGGACGCTGGGGCGGGGGGAGAGGTCTAAAATCCTATTTATAGTTTTCCAGACAATACTGGAACACACAAACACACACTGGTTCTCTGGTTGTTATATTTTTCACCCAAGGAGGTCACTAAAATTTATTGGAACTAAACAGCCTACAGGATAATTAGTGTATTACTTTTAAAATAAATATTTCTTAAATAAAGTCTGTTGTTACAACTAATCATGGATCCTTTAAGACCTATTTATTTATTGTCTATTAATTACATTTCCTAAATTTAAATGGCTATTTTTATGAACAGACTCATATTTAATGAAGGCTGGATACCTAAGGGCAATTTAGTGAGACAAATGAGCCTGACAGCCATGAGGCTGTCAGGCTGATGACTGTCGGCTCCCAGCTTCCTGTCAGAAGCCGGAGTACCGGAGACAATATTCACATGAACAGGGAGGACATGCAAACTCAACAGATATGGACCCCACTGACTCAATCAATGAACCTTATTGCTGCAAGGCAACTGTGCTACCACCATGCAGCCCCCCAAAATAAATGTGTTAATGAAATATTAAAATCAGTTAAGTGTCCTTTGGTTCTAGCCAAAGAATATGGTCTGATATCCTAAAAGGGCTTAAGAGATCAACTGAAAATTGTGATGATGTTCTCCAATACAGACTCACTGACATTCTGACTAATGTGTGTGTTTTTATAGTGGGTATGAAGACGGCCAATCAGCTGGAAAATATCAAAACTCTTACAACAGACAAAAAGCGACTGATTGACCAACGAAAGATGATGAAAAACCAAATTGAGCAGGTCATCCGAGACAGACGCCTGAGCATATTAAGAGAGAGGGCTACCCGAGAGAGGCTTACTCAAGTCAGAGAGGAGCTGAACAATAAGACAGAGGAGCTGAAACAAGAGACAGAGGAGCTGAAGGAAGAGAGAGGCGAGCTGAGCAAAGAGAAAGAGGAGCTGAACAAACAGAAAGAGGAGATGAACCAAGACAGAGAGGAGCTGATTAGTAACAGACGGGAGCTGAAGAAAGAGGGAGACGAGCTGAGGAAAGAGCAAGCCAAACAGAGCAAAGAGAAAGAGGAGCTAAAAAAAGAGGAAGAGGAGCTAAGCAAAGAGAAAACAGGGCTGAGCAATGAGAAAGACGAGCTGAGCAAAAAGAAAGAGGAGCTGCTGAAAAAAAATGACGAGAGAGCAGAACTTATTAAAGAGAAAGACAAGCTGAGCAAAGAGAAGAAGGAGCTGAACACCGAGAAAGACAAACTGAACAAAAAGAATGATGAGCTGATAAAAGAGAAAGAGGAGATAAGAAAAGAGAAAGACAAACTGAACAAAGAAAAAAACAAGCTGAGCAAAGACAAACAAGAGCTGAGCAACGAGAAAGACAAGCTGAACAAACAGAAAGGAGACCTGGACAGAATGAAAGCGGAGCTGATCAAAAAGCAAGACGAGCTCAGCAAGAAAACAAATGAGCTGAAAAAAGAAACAAATAAGCTGGACAAAGAGAAAGATGAGCTGAGCAAAAAGACAGAGGAGCTAATCAAAAAGAAAGAGCAGCTGAACAAAGAGGAAGATGAGCTGAAAAAAGAGGAAGATAAGCTCATCAAAGAGAAAGGAGAGTTGATCAAAAAGATAAATGAGCTCAGCAAAAAAATAATAGAGCTGAACCAAGAGAAAGCAGAGCTGAGGAAAGAGAAAGCAGGGCTGAGGAAAGAGAAAGACAAACTGGACAAAGAGAAAGACGGGCTGAGCAAAGAGATAAAGGAGCTGAGCAAAGAGAAAGACAAACTGGACAAAGAGAAAGACGCGCTGAGCAAAGAGATAAAGGAGCTGAGCAAAGAGAAAGATGAACTGAACAAAGAGGAAGGCGACCTAAACAAAATGAAAGTGGAGCAGAGCAAAAAAAACGGGGAGCTGAGCAAAGAGAAAGAGGAGCTGAACAAAAAGGCAAAGGAACTGAACAAAGAGAAAGAAGTCCTGAGCAAAGAGCAAGCAGAGCTGACCAAAAAAACCGAGGAGCTGGAAAAATTGAAAGAGAATCTGAACAAAGAGAGAGATGAGCTGAACAAAAATAAAAGAGAGCTGGACAAGAAGAAAACAGAGCTGGACAAATTGAAAGAGAATCTGAACAAAGAGAAAGATGAGCTGAACAAAAATAAAAGAGAGCTGGACAAGGAGAAAACGGAGCTGGACAAAAAGAAAGCAGACTTGAGCAAAGAGACAGAGGAGCTGAACAGACTGAAAACAGAGCTGAGCAAACAGAAAGCAGAGCTGAGCAAAAAGACAGAAGAGCTGAGCAAAACGACAAAGGACCTGAACAAGGAGAAAGAGGATCTGAACAAAATGAAAGATAAGCTGAGCAAAGAGAAAGAGGAGCTAAAGACAGAGAAAGAGGAGCTGAAGAAAGAGAAAGAGAAACTGAGAGTACAGAAAAAGGAGAAGGAAAATCAATGCAAAGACAAAGATGCCCTGAAAATCTTCTACAATTTTGTCATGACATTTTCATCCTTTAAAGTTGAACATTTCTGTCCTCCAGATAGTAATTATATTTCTAGATTACCTTTGAAACTCTTGATTACTCATTTTATTTTTGAAATATTCTGTTATAAACAGTTTTTCAAGACATAGCTGACCATTATTATCACAGGTAGAGTGCTGAAGGTCACTTTTCTGACCACAAAGTGAGCCAGTAAAATGAAGTCATTAGCAACAGGTTTACAGCCAAGTTTTAATTTCAGAGAATATTGTTTTTGTTTTTTAGTGAACCCTGTGGTATGCCACTTCTGACTAGAATGATATCGTAATTTAATCACCTGCCAGTATTGATCTGCACTCTACCTTTAAAAGCTTTGCTTGAGTAATTTTGATGATTGAAATGTTAAATAAGTCCACATGGATTTCTTCTAGATATATATATATTTTCGTTTTGAGATTATTTTACCAAAGTTTCACTTTATTCTGCTCTTCCCCCTTGTCTAGTGAGACCAAAGTGTCTGGATTGCAGGAAAGGCTGGATTTCCTTCAGGGGACACTGCTACTGGTTTGCTGATACAGAATATCATTCGAATTTCTGGAACATGTCTCGACAGATGTGTCAGTTTGATAGTGGAGACTTGGTTGTAATTGATGATCTGGAGGAGCAGGTAAAACATAATGCCACCTCTACTCTTGAAATGTTTCTGGAAGACTGATAGCTTGACAATACTGAATTGTCCATATAAATTGAATCAACACAGCCTAATACATTTTTTT